ATGCAGAATGGAAATACATTTTCGTCGGAAAGAGGAAAACAAATTTCCGCTAGAATGAAACCAAGAGGAAAATGTAATCTATAAATGGGGGAGGGGTAGATTATATTTGATTTTTATCAGGTCAAAATTACAATGTACACGCAATTTCGTATAAAATAAGATCGCAATTACCCTAAAATTGACTCATTAAATAACTTCATCAAGCAAAATGTATTGATCAACTTACTTTATTACCTTCTAAATAGAAATATCTGTGTTTTGAGGTTGTCCTCTGTTATATTTGCACATTTAAATAGTTCCTATACTAGCTTGTATTCCTTCTTTGTTTTATTTATTTCAATATTTGATTGTGCTTAATATTGTATTACAGAACCCTGATGAGTGTTTCAATTTTTAAATAAAATAACACGAAACGCGTCAGTAAAATCAACTTTGCATTTCTTTTCAATTATTTTAATCAAAGCACATTTGCTTAATATTCAATCAAATTTTCGACTTAGTCGACTGCTGAAAAACAAAAGTTGAGACCAGCAGATTGAACTTGTGCTTTCCTCAAGGCACTGGTCGGTCTGTTTTCAATTGATGTACGCTCACCCACACCCACACCCCAAAACACAAAATCCGAATTTTATCCATTTGCTTTATGAAGATTGATAACATTTCCAAAACATGGGACTTATAATATCCCCAGTTCTAATATGCATCCTTCTCATTTGCATACTCTGAATCCACTTTTTCTTTATTAATAAAAGAAAGTAAAAGATACACAAAGTTATTCGAAAAAAGAAATAAAACATTATGAATTAATTGAGAATTAGATAATAGGAACCTGTTGTTTATCCACTTCTAAATTGTTTCAAAAATTGTTATTACAAAATCCCTTACAATAATTAACAACGTTTGGTTTACCAGCATAATAAGTGACAGACCAACATAGACTACGGATTCTTTTCAAGAGCGGTGTGACAGAAGGTAAACTTCGACAGAAATTTTCCATATATTTTGGACCTTCTTGGCATGCTTGTAAACACCAAGTAAGATACGGACCAGATCGACGTAAACGAATGTGCTTGCCGCTAGTGATATCATCATCAATCTCCTCAACTGAATCAATTGATGATACGATCATTGTGCTAGTTGTTTGAACAGCAACTAATGCCAGTAGTAGAATCATAATGGGCATATAGATTGAAGCCATTTGTGTTAAATATTTTCAATGATAAAGTGTATAACAGAAAGATCTCGTGTTTTTCATATAGACTATCAAATTTTTCATGCTTTATATATGTGCAGAAAGAAGGAAGTGTTGCTTTATACTTCCTTTTCTTAGCAAAAAGAAGCAACACATAGCTACTTTCCTTTCTAAATAGTTGGCAGTTCTTATTTTCTACGTGCTTCTTTGTGATGGAGTAGATAGGTCAAATGAGGTGATGGAAAAGGCTACAGCACTTTCTTTTTATCTTTAATTGATAGCATATTGTGTTTCATCATCGTGTCATTTTGATATTTCGAACACAGAATGGATGAATACATAGGCGTAAGCAAAATATTCTGTGGTCACTATCATCGCAATGAGGGTGACTCGTACAAATTGATGGAACTTGTCGTAACGAGTGCCATAGGTTTATAATTAGGCAATGAAAAGTGAGACATTCGTCTTCCATCAGTAGCGGACGATACTATTCTTCATGCATGTTTTTCTACCGATGACATTCCTTCGAACTTCTAAATTGTTTCTTTTTTTGGTTTTATACGTTGCCGGCTTGGAAACTATTCTCATGTTTGCTCCGAAAAAAGCAACTCACTGAAGTCAATAAATCAAACTAAGACTCAATCAACTATAAAAATATTCAATTAAAAAATTATCCGTGTCTAGCTCTTATCGTTCTTTAGAAAATCAAAGGAGTGGGAACGCTTTGTACACAAAACGGCCCTAAATGAAAATCACTGGAATCAACGTTTTAGCCCTCAATTTCACGCTCCCCATTGTGAGGCAAGATTATTGCTAAAACATTCAGACTTTTTTACGGCACTTTGAAGCATATTCCACCAACTTCAATCTATGTCTGGAAACAGTAGATTTCTGCTAGAAATAGTATTGTGATATCCATCTGATCACCACCTGAATTCGCTATAAAAAAAAGAGATATTATCACTGCAGATAGAGCTTCTTGGAGAGCTATAAAGTGACAAAAAAAACACGGAGAAAAATTTGCGGCGCTCGAAATTTTCGAAGAGCGCGTGGGTGTGGGTGTACCTTTATGCATGAACTAATAGTCAATGTTAACGGTGGTGAATACCACTGGCCCCTCGACTTCACTTCTATAATAGTGAATCTATCTCTCCTACTTTCTCCCTCTTTATCATTGTTATTCTCTCCCTTCTCTTCTCTTTCTTCTTTTCTATCCATATATATACGTATGTGTGTGTTAAACAAAAGGAGAGATATAAAATAAACGTAAAGCTCGAACACGACGAGCTAACAGTCAATTAACACCCACACCCACACACCGACCACACCAACTTATGCGGTGCAGTTTGCTGGAATGGTAAAACGTTCACAAGATATGACGGCTATATCAACCAAACCTTATGTCAACACTTATTAGCTTCTCATCTTGGTCCACATGTACATAAATGTCGTCGGTATGCGGTGGCTCAAGATAAATTAAGATCACATTGGTCAAAACCAGTTCGCCGATGGTTCAATGATCATGGACTAAAGTTATTAGATTGGCCACCTCATTCACCTGAGTTCAAAGCAATTGAAAATGTTTGGCACTCACTCAAAGAAACAGTCAAAACAGCACAGCCAAAAATTCAAGCGGAGCTGGAAGCGACAGTTGATCAAGCGTGCCATCTCATTTCACAAAAAGTCATCCAAGGGTGCATTTCATACGTTTCTACTTTACTCAAAGAAGAAGCAAGCAACTAACAAAACACTATGAATATATTAAATGCCTATAATTTCCTTCTCTATATATACACATTGTACTATAATTTTGTTCATTGAAATAAAATAAAATATTCATCTCAACAGAGGCGAAACTTTTTTCATCAAGTAATTTTTTAATGATTTTAGTACTTAATCAATTTGAAAGAAAAAACTTGAAGAAATAAAAAAGCTGAATATGAGTAACGATGTATGTGAGAACACTATACGTGATAATAATGTTATCTTTTTACAATGTCCTTATAAAGCATAAAATAAACAGTATAGTCAGCGGGCGAAATTTCTGGGTGTGGGTGAATTGCAAAGTCGTCGTTTCTCTTTGCCACTGAGTTGAAGATATTCTGTATCGTATGTACGTCGATGGCTCTCGAAACAGTCGACAGCTGACTTGTCGACTTCACATGCCCTACGATCGCACGTTCCAGGAGTATCGTTGCAGATTATTTCCCCACCCGAACGACCAGTCCAATCGTAGGATACCCATTTTGGATTACAGCCAGCATTCTCAAGCCAGTCGTAGTGTTCATCATGGGTTTTACAGCAGTAATCTGTGTCGTCTAAGTGCTTATAGCCATAGTTTCCCCAGCCGCACCTAATGCAAAGAAGAAAAAATCAATAGATATGATAGTTTAAATTGAATGCAGCGATTCAAACAATGTTTTTTCCATTGTTCTTCGCTCCCCGAAGAAAGAGGAAGACGTCCAAGTTTTTTCTAGTCATTGACTCAGTTTTCCTCTCAGACTGAAAAAATCATGTATTTTTTTTTGATTTTGCAACGTAATTAGAAAGCAGAAAATAGCTGAATTGCTTCAACAAGCTTCTCAAGACTTACCAACAGCCATAGCCATAATAATCGCTAGAAGAGAAACCTTTGTGATTAATCATGTTGGAGAATTGAATAAGATTCATGTTCGACGAGTCTATCTTGCCAATAGATAGATAAAATCCCATTATAACCATCAACCACATTCGTGATGCGATCATTTTCATTGATCTTCAGTTGAGTGTTTGAGCTGTGCAATGCAAAATTATTGAATAAGGATATATATATAGATACAGATATAGATAGATGATTTTGATTCCAAAAGCGAAAAAGAGGAAAGAGTGATGACATTCATTTTTTTATTGTGCAAGTACTGACACACTTCCACTTTATGACACGCAAAGTTCAGAGGGATCCGATTCCTTTTTTTTTATCTCTAAGAGGATGAGTATAAGGTAAAGAAATAACTACCGCGATTGAGATGTGACGTTGATTAAGGGGAACCCCCTCAGAAATGAACTTTGTTATTTTTGCTTCCGATTTCAACGAAAATTCCAGAGAATGTTAGTCTTGGCTAGAATAGCTTATGGTTAAAATATCTTCCCCAAATCTCAAAGAAGTGTACAAGTTTCAGTCAATTCATTACCTCTTACGCGGGCACGGATTTCACAATGGGTTTTCTATGTAATCATGTCGAACTGGTTTTTAAATTGTAGAGTGACCCTAGGACTAGGTCGTCATAGAGTCCGATTTTGGAATTTCCCTTTCTTTGATTTAAAAAAAAGACTTTTTCGACAAATGTCCAAATTCTAGGCGCTCATAAATATGAAATATCTAAGTTTTTTATTTCAATAAAAGATAAATTCAAAAATCGGACTCTATTACGGGTGTGGGTGTGTTTTTGAGCTAGCCGTTACGCGTTTCAACCTTACTTAAGGGTCTCATCAGAGTGGTTCGGTTTGTTTGTTGGTTTGAAATGATTATCGGATGATAAATATTCTGTCTAATCGATAGGTTAGTTGGTGTTTTGAAAGTTTTAGTAACCAGGAGAAAACAATTTCTCTAGTGCAAAGTGTATCCACTGTGATTGGGAAATTTCGCGATGTCACGTGTTATGACTAAGCGAATAGTTTGTTTGCTACTGAAGTTCTAGTTTTTGTTTCTTGCTGAAATAAATTTCTGATGGTGTGGCTCTCATAATTATATCTGTAGCATGAAGAAATTTTCAAAGTTTATTGTCGTATTGAATTTTTCTTTTTATTGATGTAGAAATTAATTTCCTCATGATATTCCCTTGAAAATGCTCATGAATGTGTATTTATGTGTGTCGTTTTTACATAGGTAATTTTTGAAATAGAAAATACGATTTCGGCATATTTTTGGTTGGTTTTCAGCTTTTTTGCTAAAGCTACTGTTACTTCGCATTGTTACTTGTGAATACAGAGATGTTTAGGATTTATTTATAAATAAGTACATGAAATTCAAAATGGACTAAATTAATGGCTAGTTTGATTTGGTTGAATGTTCTGTGGTTGTTTATTCGTGTCATGTTGCGTTTCGGTCTCTTGACTGCTTCCCGCACGTCAAATAGATTTGATCAGCCTGACCTTCAATTCTTGTTTTAAGTTGCGATTCAAAGAAGTTCCGACAATTAGAGCAGTATTGGTGACGTCGGCTCCATGAAAAGTACGCAGCCACAATCTATGAATATGATATTGATTTTGGGTGAGTCTTTGTTCCTGTTTTTTATGAACGATGAGACTTTTTCTTTTTGTTATTTCGTTGTTGTCTGTAGGTTGCACAAGCCGATTTTGCAGATTTTTGCCACTGGCTCGATCGGTGGTTGAGCTTTTGGCTGTTCTATTGTATATTTTATCTGTTGATGTTGTCAATAACTGATGACGTAAATAATCGAAGTCATCTGGATTATTGAGCATAGGGAAAACGAAATACTTGGATAAATATTTACTGAATAATGTAGTGAGTCGCCGATCGATATGTCTTGGCGGGTACCTATAAGTCACATAAAAAGAGTGAAAAACATGAATGAATACAGGGAACATACCCGTTATAGAGAAACATGAGTTTCATTTGTCGTATTTCTTCTTCGAATTCAGATAAGGTTGTTGAATAACGAACTGCTCTCGTAATAGCAGTATCAACATTGTTTCGGAAAACATGACCAGGGTGATCTGATCCAAATGGTACGACATACGGCTCAGCTGCTTCTTTATGATACACTGAAGTTGTTAAAGTGCCCTTTCTGTTCTCAATGAGTACAACAAGAAATGGAACACTTCTACCAATTTGTCGCACTAGTTTAATATTAGGATGAAAGTTATTAGCTTCATCTAATATTTGGCCGATACATTCTAGTGAGTCGTTCGACGTAAAAAAAATATCATCAACATATCTAAAATGAGACATTAAATGCACAAAATATTCTTTTACGAACCATGTTAAATACCGTCCGTAGATTTCATTGGATACTTTTGGTCGGTGTACAAGTTGTTTCTCCCATGTCCACGTGAAAATATTAACTAGTGTTTAAGTAAATGCTGAGCCCATCGCACCACCAATGACTTGTCGATAGAATTTCTTCTCATCAACAAAAACATTTTCTTTAATACGATAAGAGCTAACTTTCGAATAATATCGATTGGAATATTTTGAACTTTTTGATAGTCATGTTGAAGGAGAAATTCAATTAGAATATCAAGTGATTCTTCTTGTGGTAACATCGCATATAAATGTGCAATATCAAACGTGCACAAATAAGTTTTAGGTTTGAGATACGCATTTGTTGTAT